GGAGGAGGAAGAGGGAGGGAGGGAGGGAAGGGAGAGAGGGGGAGAGAGGGGGAGAGAGGGAGGGAGAGGGGGGGGAACACATACAACGTGGACAACAGCAAAGGAATGCAGGAGGATGCAGTCAGAATAGGTCTGAGGGCAGGAGATCACTGTGATCCTAGCTGGAGCCTGTCCAGGGATGGGGCTGGGGGCTGGTAGGAGCCTCCAGGCAGTGCCCAAAGGTCTGTCAGAGGCTGGCACTGCAAACACAGACCACCCTGAAGAAGCCTGGCCCTGGGGAGGCCAGAGACATGGTCAGCTAGATAATGATGTGTCAAAAACCTCTTCCATCTGTTGTCAAAGGTTTTGATGAGCAAGAAATATACTCTATCTGTGTACTCTGGGGAGCTGGCACACAGCAGATTTCCAGTGAACACAGTCCATGAAAACAGAGTGCCCTGGTTAGAGTGTGAAAGAAAATGGAATAAAGTTAAAACCAAGGCTTGGGTGTGGCCTGCTTTACATTTCCTTTTTCACATTTAGAAAAAGAAATGCTTTAAAGAGTTTATCCCATGTATATGGTATTGTAAAAATGACGAGTTTACTTGCACAGAATCTAAAACATTTGAAAATCTGAGACAAAGAAATTAGAACTAAGAAAAGGTTATTAGGTTTAAATTTTGAAAGAAAGAAGGAAAGTAAAAAAATGACAATGCACATTATTTAATTCTGTTCAGATAGTCTAAAATATAAACATGTAATAGTGAACCCTTATAGTAAAACTATAATAAATACTTGTGATATAAATAATGACAAAAGAAACATTTTAAAAAACATGCCCAAAGTACTTACCATCTTCCCAGTGTCTTTTAAGACTTTCTGGAAAAGCCTTTTCTATCTTAAAGGTCAACACATCTCCATGAACAATTCTCAGTTTTCCAGGTGCTGCATCAGAAAGCATCTAGTTTATAAGATCAATATAATGAGCTCACATACTCAGTACAACAGAACTACAACGTTTAAACCTGTGCATCATTACATCTGCTGGAAAAGCCAGAGACCAGAGTGACCGTCCACAAACTGAGAGTTTCTCTCCAACACAGGGGGGTTAGGGACAGTCACAGGTGACACAGCAGCAGCTCAGGATTGCACATGTGGCACATGAGTGTAACTCTGGCCCTCAGAATGACTTCTACTTCTGCATAGAACTCAACATAAACTGTACTCCTATCTCTAAGTCTTACAATTACAGACTAAGGATGTGATAATGAAATTCTGAGAATTAGGAATAAGAAAAATAAGCTTGAATCCAACTAAATCTTTATAGTCTAGACACCTACACAGAATTCTACACATTACCTAGATCTTTACCTTAATCTATGGGTAGATTCAAACTAAGTAGAAAGTTCCTAGTCAATGCCATGCCCCATTTGGCATTCTGAGACTACCCTCACCTAGCAGCCCTAGCCAGAACCTTTCTTGATTCACAGGCATTGTCCACCTATGAACTGTCCTGGATATAACTGTCCTGGGTATATATAGTTCCACACTTGCTCTCTATCAGCCCCTTTCCACCTTTCAGTTATCTGCTTTTTTCCCCTTTCCTTCAATTTTTTTTTTGTGGGGGGGGTGTACCATGGATTGAACTCAGGGGCACTCGACCAATTTTGCATTTTTTTAGAGGTAGGGTCTCACTTTGCTGAGGCTGGCTTTGAATTTGCAATTTTCCTGCCTCCACCTCCTGAGTGGCTGGGATTACAGGCGTGTGCCACCACGCCCAGCCTTCCAACAGTCTCTTTAAGGAAAAAAGAAAACCAACAACAAAACACGGCTTCCTTTGTAATAGATCTCTCTGTCTTAATTTCATTCACTTTATTACCACACTCCCACAGTACATAATAAAAAGCTGGTACTTGGTTTGAAAAGGCCGTATGAATAAGCCAACTATAAATCTGCATTATGTGTCCCTACGCCCAATACAAAACTTGATCCTCAGTAAAACAGAAAACATGCAGCTCCTAGCCTACAAAACTTAAAATGCCAGAGTGAACTTGCCAGATGAGACGTCACTCCAAAAGCAGACTGCAAGGAAGAGATGATCCTCCTCCTACAGCAAGGCTCAGCTCAGGGGGCCCAGAGAACCTTGGTCTAGCTCAGCTGCCGAAATTCTAGAACCTGTTGAGGGCTACACAGGGATTTTCAGTCAACAAGTCAAGGGGACTCTGTCCTTCTTCTAGTTCCATAAGCTGACCTTCTCTCCTAATACCCTGTCCTCACCTATTTCGGGTAACTAACAGGAAGGATGAAGAGGTGTCAGAAGTCAGGAGTCAGGCAGCAGCCCTCCACTGTGCCTTGCCTGTGACCCTGAAGGCACTTAAGATCAGAGTTCATGTGCTTAGTCTCCTTCCTCGGCAACAGCATGAGCGCCTTAAGGCAGCACCTCTTTCCTATGTACTTGAGCAGCACCTGCATTAGGTACTAATGCATATTGAATAAGGAATGAACACACGAATGATCAAACAGCATTCAGCTTCTTGGAAGCTGGCTCCCAAAACGTGGGGTCTAGAAACTTGCAAAGATTTACTTCACTAGTAAATGAGGTAGAATTATATAAATAATATTTCAGAAATACATAGCTGAAATGCTTATATAGTTAAGAGAATAAACATTTTAAGTTTGGAATCTTCTAGTTTTACTGGTTAACCATTGCAGTTTAGCAAACCTAACAGCATACCTTTGGTACTAACATACTTTGGGATTATTTTAAATTACCATGATTTGCTAAAACTTAACCTGATGGGTTTCAGACGATAAATCTCAGAAAACATAATAATCATAATATACTAAAGAGCTAGCTCTTTATAGGACATGCTCTTACTGTATAAACACTGAGAATTTAATGACAGCATTGACCAAGATTAGAGAAAGCTAAAATTTCTTGATAACTATGTTTCACATAATTAAAACAAAACAAATTAGCATTTCAAAAACAAAGTGGCAGAACTAAAAGTTTATGTTACATAATGTTAATATACAGAAAGTAATTAAGTAATTTGTAATTAGGACTAAAAACAATGTAAATTCGACTGTTTGGTGTTAATTCATATGCTCTGACAGCCACACTTGAAGCATTAACTTTTTCCACACTCACAAACACAACTGCATACCAGAAAACTGACAAAGACACGAACCTATTTTCTTTTCCTAGGTTAAAGTTTCATGTCTACTCTATTTCTTCTGAATTCCCAGTTAGGTTTAGGTCTCTGTCAATGACAGCCCTGTGCTCCAGCTCCCTCTGTGACTCCCCACTGCAGGAGGAATGGATGCTGGTGTTTGCTGACTTCCCTGAAGACCTTGGGGCAATTCTGAGGGGAGAGTGCAGGACAGACTGACTGACACTGCCATTACAGACAAAGCCTTCTACCCAGAAAGGACAGGGGACTCTGCAAACTAGTCACAGAGGAATGCTTTCACCACTGCAGCACTGCTGGAGGGGGATGTGGCCGGGTGGAAGGATCCCTGTTGCTGCCCTTCAACAACATGCCCAAGGTGTGACCACATAATGCGCCCAGAGGCACAGTCCATGGTGAGATCATAAGTGTGGGCACCTGATTTCAGCCAGGTGAGTATTCATAGATACTCTTAACCTGGTCCATCATTTAAATTTCCAAAATGAGAGGGTCTTCAAGTAAAAGACTTTCATTAACTAGGACTACAAAATAAAGAGAAAACCAAACCATGAAAAGGAGAAGAATGTATTTTTTTACATGTGTGCTAAGAATCCTATCATTACAATTGTTAACACTCATGATTTGCATAATGAAATATATAAACCTTACTCTCTATTAGAAGTAATTAGACCAAGTCTCCAAGAGAGTCATTTTTCTTTTTCCTGAAACCAGGTTTTGTAAAGGGTACATGGAACAATATAATGGATAGTGCCATTCTATGGCCATTAAAAAAATAAAACACAAAACTCTTTTAACAAGTCAGTCCCAGTAAAAGCTTTTCTGTAGGGGGGTAAGTAACAGTGGTCCACCTCAGTAGCTTTTTTGGAGATTTAATTTGATGAGGAAAGAACAAATTTTTGAGAACAAAGAACCACATGTAAAATGGATATTTTGTGCATTTTATGCCACCTCCTCAGGGTGAGGAGCTCGTGGCAGTCAACACTTAGAGTGGGCTAGGCATTCATCACCTACTTCCTGATTTGCCGTAGAGTAGAGCCTGAATGCTGCTGGAATAAAAACTTGCAAAAGGGCTGGGCAAAACTGTCTCACAAGTAATATGAGAATGAAAAAATATACAATTAAAATACGACATGTAAAAACTTAAGGTCTTTACTTTTATGTAGACTACACAAAAAACAGCAGTGCTGTTATTCAACAGGAGCTTAATATCACAACACTTTTTTAGGGAGAAGACTACAGCATGACTTCAGTCAGTGTGCTTGTTGGTTAGACTGAATCAAATATGTATGGTAAGAGCTTGTGTACTTGGCCTCATTAAGGAATCTAATGTCTGCTTACGTATACTTCCCACACAACATTTACTCCTTTATTTGTTAACATTTCTTAAGAAAATCAGAGTGGCATCTTTTTAGACTACACTGGACAATTCTCCTAAGCAGAAAGCATTGCTCCTGCTTTTTGTGATGCTGTCGGTCACTGCTGCCTGAAGAGCGGTGGCCTCATGGGCACAGAGGTGCACTGGAGTTGGTATTATTTTAAATTACCATGATTAGCTCTCTACTTGATTTATAGCTTTTCTGTTACTGTAATAACTGCTACCAACACTGACCTTTATCCTTCTCCTTCAGTGGACTGCAAACCACTGCAGCTGTTTGGCACATTTTGTTTAACCAAGTCTGTCTGTGCTGTGATTAACTGTGGTCACCTCAGTTAGGCATGTCTCAAGGGAACAGTCACGTCAAAACAGAAAGTCAGATAATTGATCTTTTTGAATAATTTGCTAGAGATGAAATAATTTCAAAATTTTATTACCTCTAATTAAAAAGAGCTTTCTCTACAAGAATGTGTGAATTACTTTGTCCCTTATAAGATGACAGTATTTGCTTTGCATCTGGAATGCCCCCCAAGAGCTTATGGACTATGCAGCAATGTTCAGAGGTGAAATGATTAGATCATAATAAGAAAATCTGACCTATCAGTGGATTAATCCATCTAATGGATTAATAACTGGGAGGTGGTGAAAACTGTAGGAGGTGAGGCATGGCTGGAAGGAGTGGACTGCAGGAGGCATGGCCTTGGAGCCTGGATCTGCCCCTGGCCCTTCCTGTTTCTCTCTGCTTCCTGGGTGCCACCGGCTGAGCAGCTTTCCTCCACTGTGCCCTACACCATGATGTCTTTGCCTTGGAGCCAACCAACCTCACTGAACCTCTGAAACTGTGGGTCAAAATGTTCCTGTCGGGTGTTTTGGTCAAAGTGACAAGAAACTGGCTAACAGACAAGAGGAGGAATAATTATATTAGTAGCAACCATCCACTGGCTCCTGTCAGTACTCCAGGTTCTTTACGTCAATTTCTACCTGCCCTTGTAATCTCCACAAAACATAACTATTAATCCTGCTGCATATGGGAAAACTGAAGCTAAAAAAAGCTGAACATCAAGTTCAAGGTCACAAAACTAGTAAATGGCATATCTGAGATCTGAACACCAGTTTGATTCTCAATCCCATGAACTTTCCACTATGCTTATGAAGAAGAAATAATCCCTGCATTAACCTATTATAAAATGCAGACATTATCTAATATTATCTATCAATAGTCAATGACATACCTTCTGTCTCCAAAATTCCATGAAACAAGCATAAAATTTAACAGTCAGTAAGAGTCCTTGAGTTTCCTACTTTGGCCAAGATGGAGCATTAGGGACCAAATATATTCTTCTATCTTAATCTAGTAATAAAAAGACACAAAATACTCAAAACAAGAATTTTCAG